CACAGGAGCTCTGGCTAATACCGACACAGCCTTTAGCCTTTCTTTAATCTAGAACAAGAATTTGCAACTGCCACAAGAAGGTTTTCGAATCGTTGCCTCAACCCTGTGTAAACAAACAACGTCTATAGGAAATTGTTGATTTCTCTACACAGACTAAGCACCTGCTCATATTATTGCCCTGCAGTATGCAAATGGACCATTTTAGGGAATGAATAAAACAAATATGCTCTAGAAACTACAGTACAAGCAGGATTCAATTGCAGACAGGCTGTGTTCTCCGAGTGGATTACCAAATTAGCTATTTGGAACTCAGAATGCAATATCTCGAGAAATAGTGTTATGAATGATAGCCAGCTTCACAAGTGTCATCCACAAGGCCCTAGTAAACTGGCAACATAATCAAAATGACATTGCCTTTAATAATGGACTATTCTTTATGGGGAAAATGCCCTTCACAGGACATAAGAAGGAAACCATGTGGCCCTAGGAACTTCTCTCACTTCTAGTTGTTTTCTGCCCTCTACCACACATTTGCTGCAGTCCACTCATTTTCAATATGGAGGCAAAGTAAAACAAGTTGGCTGTTCTCCTCTCTCTTCTCCACAACTTGGACATTCATATGAAGCAGATTCAGTGGCCTCTGTCTTTTAGAGGATAATAAGCAAAATACAGAAATTCCACAATCCCTCAGCCATAAGGAGAACTTTATCTGGCACAACTTTGTACATTTGTAGTTTGAGAAAACAAGTCTATATACAGAAGTGTAAATTCCAAAGGAATATCATTTTCCTATGCATAAGGCTAAAGAATGGCTAAGGTCAGGAAGCCTAACCTCTGGTTTTATTGTATCCCCCAACATTCTATCTTGTCACACATATACAAAAAAAAAATCCTAAAATGGTATTTTTACAAGACCCCCTAAACCAGGATAAGTACAGCTATAATGTAATGCAACATTTTCAACATCTAACCCTTTGACCAGCAATATCAGCATCTCATGCAATCTTACTAGAAATGCTAATTTTGGAAACCACCCCATACCTAATGAATCAAAAACTCTCAGAAACTCTGGGATTAGGCCCTAGTAATCTGTGTTTCAATGAGCTCTCTGGGTCATTCTAAGTACACTAAAGTTTGAGAACAACTGACCTAATGATTTTAAGAAAATGATGTAAGAAAGTCAAGATTGATTTCTTTTTTAAAGTAAGTGACTAGACATACTATCAATCTAATTGTATTGTTTCTTACTACATATAGCACAAAACATTACTTTTATGAGATACCCAGCAATCCAACTCAAAAAAGTGTTTATTCTGTGTGTATATGTGCAGGCTACTGTTGTCAACTAAGGAAGATTAAAAAGTGAATAGATTAAATAGTGAGTGGAATGTCAAACAAAGACTTGCAAACTTATGGAGATGAAGGCAAGGCAGGCAATAAAAGTATAACTAAAACTAGAGAGATCATTTGTTGTTTTTTTAAAAGTATATAAATACAATGTTATAAAAATATAATTTCAAACAAAAATCATTTTAAAGAAAGAGGTTGTGAGGCAACATCAGAATGTCAGGCCTTGAAAGGAAGGTATACATTTTGACAATGGAAGCAATGTGAAAAGAAGGGTTCACGGGATCAGTGGAGAGAAAAGTTTCCCAGAAAAAGAGACAACATGAATAAAATCCAAGGTGCATGTAAGCACAGAACAATGCTTCCTCCAACTTGTGTCATCAGTATGTTATAGCTGTGATTAAATAAATATTCCTCTTGGGGCAGCTGGCTGAAAACTGAAGCAGCCAGAAACCTGATATCAATTATTCTTGTCATAAACAGTTGTGTGCTATTACCCCATTATCACCTACTAATGTTATTCCTGTAGGTATCATGACACCACAGAGTTTGTTTGAGGGACCAAGAAAATGCTTAGTTTAGAAGGGTACATACTAAGTAGATAAGGTAAAGAGACAAGAGGATTTTGGATGCCCTGCTTAGTAGACTGGATCTATTTAGATGGCAAAATTGTGTTTGAGGAAGAAAATAATCAAAACATGATTTACCAATAGTTTTCGGGGGGGGGGAGGGCAGAGCAAGATGGTAGATCAGAAGGATCATTCAGCTGAGCTCTCCTAGAATGACTGAGGAAAAAGAAAGAACCCAGGTATACCTGGCATGAGGACCTGACACCGAGGGAGCACAGTGAAAAGGTGGTGATCTAGATACAGTATATGATCTGGAGTGTTGGAAATCTGATAAATTAGGCAAGTGATTGTGACTGGCTGGAATCAGCTGGCCCCCCACGGAGGTCTAGGACAGGAAGAAGCCTTTGTGGAGTTTTCACCAGTTGGGGAAAGCTGCACATTCAGTGGAATGGACTGGAAGAGTGGGTGGACTTGAACAGTATACAGGAACCAGATTTGAATGCCAGATGGCTGAATTGGCCATAGGTTTGGTGGCTGGCAAGGCAGCCATACTGAGAAGGTCTCAGTGGCCAGGGGCTGCCATTGTAGGAAGGTCATGAGAAGGTCTTAGCAGAGGCCTAAAACATGGCCATCTTATTTCTGCCTCCAGAGATCAAAACTCCACTCTTGGGACAGGCTGGGGGGACAGACCTCCACACCCCATGGGAACTAGAGTCAGGGGACACTGTGAGTTTGTTCCTGAAGGATTCTTGTGATCCTTTAAGATCCCAACCCAGGAGGGTCTGAATGCTGAGGAAACAATCAGGCGATCACCAAGGGCAACTAACTTTGGAATAAGGACCACGGAGGTTGCTGGCTGTGCTCTCCATCTCCTAAAAGAACCACAACACCACCTTGTGTTCCAGTGACATATTGCAACATATTGTCATCAAGAGCAAGGACTTCTATTTTTTTGACCACAACAAAGAGTTTGGCTCTGCTCAGCCTTGAGGCCACTTCACAATCTAAGCTCTGCAACAAGGTAATTTGATGCAAAGAAGCCAGTGAGAAAGGACAAGGAGGTGAATAAGAAGGAGGAGGAAACAACAGAAAAGTTTGGGCAACATGAAAAACCAAAACAGAGCAATTCCCCAAGGGACCATGAGGCAGCAATATATAAAGAATTAATGGATTTGACAGAAAAGGAATTTAAAATATAGATGATAAAGACAGTAAAAGTAATGGGTGAGAAAATGGAAAGACAGAACCAAAAGTCAGATGAGAAAAATGTAGAATATAGAAAGGATATAGTGAAGCTTAAGGAAATGAAGGAGATGATCAGGGAATTTAAAGATGCAGTAGAAAGTATCAAAAATAAGTTAGACCATGGAGAAGAAAGAACCTCACAGCTAGAAGATAAAGTTTTTGAGTTAATTCAGGTAGTTAAAAAGGCATAAAAGAAGAGACAGAAAACAGAACAGGTGCTTAGAGAACTATAAGGCTCCATAAATCATTCAAACATATGAATAATAAGGATTCCTGAAGGGGAAGATTATCCCAAAGGAATGGAAGCTCTACTGGAGACTATCATTAATGAAAACTTCCCAAGTTTTCCTAAAGACTCCAACACACTCCTTTCAGATGGTTATCGAACCCCTGATCATCCCAACTCACATGTAGCCTCTCCTAGACACATTGTAATAAACCTGTCCAAAGTCAAGATGAAAGAAAAATTCTGCAAGCAGCCAGGAGTAAACATCAATTGACTTACAGAGAAAGAGCCATTAGGATGACAGCAGACTTTTCAACTGAAACTTAACAAGCCAGAAGAGAATGGTCATTTGTCTTCAACATTCTTAAACAAAAAAAATTTCAGCCCAGAATTATGTATCCTGCTAAACTAAGCTTCATAATTGTTAGAGAAATCAAATCTTTGGCAGATATACAAGCATGGAGGAAATTTGCAACAACAAGACCAGCTACACAGGAAATACTTAAACCTATTCTATACACTGATCATCACAATGTACCACCAGCAAAGTAAACACCCAGAAGCTAAAGGTCAAAATTTAGATTCCACAATGGCACAAAGGATAAAAATACACAATGGACTTTCACAAAATAAGATGAATAGAACTCTACCACATTTATCAATTCTCTCAATAAATATCAGTGGACTCAATTCCACACTAAAGAGGCACAGGCTCCCCGATTGGATAAAAAAGCACAAGCCATCCATATGTTGTCTCCAAGAGACACATTTAGCCTTGAAGGACAAATCAAGATTCAGGGTTAAGGGATAGAAAACAGTATTTCAAGGAAATGGAAATCAGAAGAAAGGAGGGGTTGCAATCTTATTTTCAGATACAAGTGGATTTAAGGCAACTAAAGTTAAGAAAGACAAAGATGGACACTTTATACTGCTCAAAGAAACAACACAACAAGAAAACATTTCAATTTTAAATATTTATGCACCCAACTTAAATGATTCCAAATTTATGAAACAGACATTGATGGGTCTGAGCAATATGATATCCCAAGCCAGGGACTTTAACAACCCTTTAACAGAACTAAAAATCCTCTAAACAGAAACTACACAAAGATACAAAGGACTTAAATGCGACCCTAGAACATATGGGATTAATAGACAAATACAGAATACACTATCCCAAAGCTAAAGAATATATATTTTTCTATCAGCCCATGGTATGTACTCCAAAATAGATCACATCCTGGGTTATAAATTAAATCTCAGCAAAATTAAAAGAACAGAAATTATACCTTATATCTTCTCAGACCACAAGGCAATAAAGGTAAAACTCAACTCCAACAAAAACATTCATCCCCAAAGACTTGGAGATTAAACAACCATATGCAGGATGATAGTTGAGTACAGGAAGAAATAAAAGAGGAAATTGTTAAATTCTTCAATCATAATAACAATGAAGACACAAGTTACCAAAACCTGTAAGATACAGCAAAAGCAATCTTAAGAGGGAAATTTGTCACATCAGAGGCTTACATTCAAAAAACAAAAAAAGAGTGCATTAACAAACTCATGAACCATCTTATGAAATTGGAAAAAGAAGGAATTACGTTTCTGCTCATCTTTGATCTGGTGGAGTTATTACTATGAGCTAAGCTCACCCTTCCGAACTGAAAAAAATTATGGACAAGAAGTTATCATTAAAATTAAATGGTGGCAGACATGTCCAAGGAATATTGCAGGGGTTTGATCCCTTTATGAATCTTGTGATGGATGAATGTATGGAGATGGCAACTAGTGGACAACAAAACAATATTGGAATGGTGGTAATACGAGGAAATAGTATCACCATGTTAGAAGCCTTGGAATGAGTATAAATAATGGCTGTTCTGCAGAGAAATCCATGTCCCGTCTCCAATGAGCCTGTTTTACTATGATGTCAAAATCTAGTCTTGTACATTTTCATATTCAACTTTTTGTTAAATAAACTTTTCTAATAGCCAAAAAAAAAAAAAAGAAATAGGAAAAAGAAGAACAATCTAATCCTAAACCTAGCAGAAGAAAACAAATAACCAAAATTAAATCAGAGATTAATGAAATTGAAAATGAAAGAATGATTCAGAAAATTAACAAAACAAAAAATTATTTTTTTGAAAAAAATAAATAAAATTGATAAACCTTTGGCCATATTAACTAGAAACACAAAAGCAAGGTCTCTAATAACCTCAACAGAAATGATAAAGGGAAAATAACAACAGACGCCACAGAGATGCAAGAGATCATCTCTATACTACAAGAAACTCTAGGGCAGTGCCCATAGCTTAGTGGGTAGGGCACCAGCCACATACACAAAAGCTGGTGGGATTGAATCCAGCCCAGGCCAACTAAAACAACAATGAGAAAACAACACATACAAAAAAAAAATAGTCGGGCTTGGTGGTAGGCATCTATAGTCCTAGCCACTTGGGAGACTAAGGCAAAAGAATTGCTTTAGACCAAGAGTTCGAGGTTGCTGTGAGTGCTGATGCCCTGGCACTCTACCCAGGGCAACAAGAAGGAAGGAAGGAAGGAAGGAAGGAAGAGAAGAAGGAAGGAAGGAAGGAAGGAAGGGAGGGAGGGAGGGAAAGGAAGGAAAAAAGAAAAGAAAAGAAAAAAGAAAAGAAAAGAAAAAGAAAAAAGAAACTCTATGCTCAGAAATTTGACAATGTGGAGGAAATGGATCAATACCTGGAATTACACTCTTTCCCTAGACTTAATAAAGAAGAAATAGATCTCTTGAACAGACCAACTTCAGGAACTGAGATCAAAAAAAACAATAAAAAAAATCTCCCAACAGAAAAAGCCCTGGTCCAGATGGCTTTGCACCAGCATTCTCTCAAACCTTCAAACAAGAGCTCATACCCATACTGTAGAAATTATTCCAATAAATTGAAAAGAAAGGACTCTTCCCTAACACATTCTACAAAGCAAACATCACCCTGATACCAAAACCAGGCAAAGACCCAACTAAAAAAGAAAACTTCAGACCAATTTCACTAATGAATGTAGATGCAAAAATTCTTGATAAAAGCCTAGCCAACAGAGTACAGCTACAACTTTAAAAAATCATTCATCATGATCAAGTAGGTTTAATCCCAGGGATACAAGGATAGTTTAACATACACAAGTCCATAAATATAATTCACCATACCAACAAAAGCTAAAACAAAGACAATATGATCCTCTCAATAGATGCAGAAAAAGCATTCAATATAATTCAGCATTCTTTTCTAATTAGAACACTTAAGAATATAGGCATAGATGCCACATTTCCTAATCTCATCAAATCCTTCTTAAAAAAACCCACAGTTAACATTATACTGAATGAAGTAAAACTGTAAGCTTTTCCACTTAGAACTGGAACCAGACAAGGTTGTCCTCTACCACCACTACTATTCAATACAGTGCTGGAAATTCTAGTCAATACAATCAGGCAAGAGAAGGCAATAAAGGGCATCCAAATGGAAGCAGAGGTCAAACTCTTGCTTTTTGCTGACAATATGATCTTGTACTTAGAGAATCCCCAAAACTCAAATACAAGAATGCTGGAAGTGATCAAAAAATACATCAATGTCTCAGGATATAAAATCAATGTTCACAATGTTCTCCTTTGTATATGCCAAAAACAGGCAAGATGAGAAGTTAATCAAGGACACAATTCCCTTCATAATAACTTCCAATAAAATGAAATACCTAGGAATATACATAACAAAAGAGGTAAAGGACCTCTACAAGGAAAATTACAAAACCCTAAGAAAAGAAATAACAGAAAATATTAACAAATGGAAGAACATATGCTCATGGCTTGAAAGAAGCAACATTGTGAAATGTCGACTACAGATTCAATGCAATCCCCATTAAATTAACCAACATCATACTTTCAAGACTTGGAAAAAATAATTTTTCATTTTGTATGGAATCAGAAGACACCCCATAAAACCAAGGCAATTCTTAGTAATAAAAATAAAGCTGGAGGCATCACCTTACCAGACTTTAGGCTGTACTACAAGGCCATAGTGATGAAAACAGCATGGTATTGGCACAAAAAAAGAGACATTGACACTTGGAACCAAATAGAAAACCATGAGATGAAACTAACATCTTACAGCCACCTGATCTTTCATAAACCAAACAATAACATACACTGGGGAAAAGAATCCCTTCTCAATACATGGTGTTAGGAGAACTAGAGAAGCACACATAAAAGACTGAAACTGGATGCCTACCTCTCACCACTTACAAAAATTAATTCAAAAATAGATAAAAGATTTAAATCTAAGGCATGAAACAATAAAAATCATCAAAGAAAAACACTTGAAGATATTGGTCTGGGGAAAGATTTTATGAAGAAGACTTCATGGCAATTGCAACAATAACAAAAATAAAAAAAAAATAGGAGTTAATTAAACTGAATACCTTCTGTACAGCTAAGGAAACAACAACCAAAGCAAATAGACAATCTTCAGAATGGGAAAAGACATTTGCATATAATGAATTGGACAAAAATATGATAACTAGGTTCTATAGATAACTCAAATTAATTAACAAAAAAAAGACCAAACAATCCCATCTATCACTGGGCAAGAGACATGAAGACAGCCTTCTCCTCTAAAGAATACACATGAATGGCTAACAAACATATGAAAAAATGCTCATCCTCCCTAATCAGAAGAGAAATGAAAATCAAAACTATCCTGAGATATCACCTAAACCCAGTGAGAACTGCCCACATCACAATGTCTCAGAGCTACAGATGCCGGCATGGATGTGGAGAGAAGGGAACACATTTACACTGCTGGTGGGACTGTAAACTAATACAACCTTTTTGGAAGGATGTATGAAGAATCCTTAAAGAATTCAAACTGGACCTCTCATTTGATCCTGTAATCCCATTACTAGGCATCTACCTAGAAAAGAAAAATCCTTTTATCATAAGGACATTTGCATTAGCCTGTTTATCACAGCTCAATTTACAATCACCAAAATGTAAAAACAGCCTAAATGCCCACAAACCAAGAGTCTTTTCTGCACTTGCCCTACTTGCACCACAGTTAAGGGTCACTGGAAAGTATTCTACCCCAGGTTGTATACCAGAGGCAACATAACCCACTGGAGTAGAGTGTTGAAAGACATCCTGTTTCTAGGGCAAGGCTGAAACAGGATCCAGACTATTCTGGCTAATTCCCCTTTATCTCAGGATATTCAATTTCCAGCACATTCTACAGTTATTCTTGAGAACTACAAGTGAGAAATTGTAGTTCTCACTTGTAGTTCCAACCAAAGAATGGATTAACAAGCTGTTATATATGTATACAATGGAATACTATTCAGCCATTAAAAAAAAGATGGAGACATTACATCTTTTGTATTAACCTGGATGGAGATGGAACACATTCTTCTTAGTAAAGTGTCACAACAATGGAGAAGCAATAATACAATGTACTCAATTCTAATATGAAAACAGTAGATGAGCTAATATAAGGGGAGGTAGGGGAATGAGCAAGTGGGGAGAGAGGAAGTGGAAAGGGGATGGGGTGTCATGGTGTATGGCACACCTCTACAGGGCAGGACACAATTACAAGAGGGACTTTAACAAATGCAATCAGTGTAATCTAATTCTTTCTACCCTCAGTGAATCCCAAGTAATAAAAAATAAAATAAAACAGAAATACAAATAGTTTTCCTTCCTCCTTTCTAGTTAGGACCACTTTTGTTTTTGTTTCTTTTGTTTTGTCTCTGGCTAGAACATCCAATACAATTTTGAAGAGCAGTGGTGAAAGTAAGCATCCTTGTCTTGTTCCTAAGTAGGAGAAAGCTTTCAGTTTTTCACCATTGATTACAATGTTTTCTATGGAATTTTCATAGATGTCTTAGAAATTCCTTCATATTCCTAGTTTTCTGAGCATGTTTTCTTTCTTTTGGAACTATAGAAGAAAGATTGTTGGGTTTTTTGGTTTTTGTTTTTTGGGTTTTTTGCAGTTTTTGGCCAGGGCCGGTGCCCTACTCCTTTGAGCCACAGGCACCGCCCAAACGATTTTTTTTTTAATCATGAGAAGGTGTTGGATGTTGTAAAATGTCTATTCTTCACCAAATGAAGTACTCATGTTTCCCCCCTTCCTTCTATTAATGTGATACATTAAATTAATTGATTGTCTTATGTTGAACCTATAGGACAGTTCACCAGATGAACTTGAATTGATCCTAGTATCCCCAATTTCTCACTTGTAGTTCTCAAGAATAACTGTAGAATGCTTGAAATGGAATATCCTGAGATAAGGGGGTATTAGCCAGAATAGTCTGGACCCTGTTTCGGCTTTGCCTAGAAACAAGGTGCCCTTCAATACTCTACTCCAGTGGGTCGTGTTTCCTCTGGCATATAACCTGAGATAGACTACTTTCCAGTGACCTTTAGCTGTGGTGCAAGTGGGGCAAGTGCAGACAACACTCTGTCAGTCCTGAGAAGATTTTCTGAGCCTTGGGGGAGGACTGTCTCACCCTGAATCCTAGGTTTCTGTTGTCCCTTATTGCCTATTTATAAATAATAAACCTGCTTTGTGTAACTTAAAAAAAAAAAGATATGATTTACCTTTGGTTGTAAAATTACTATTACACAATAGGCAGACTGGTTTAGAGTAAGGAATCAGGCAAATCAGTTAGGATGTTCTCAAATTAGAACAGACAGGAACATTAATATCCCAAACTACTGTGGAACAAGAATGGAAAGAAGAAAATCAGTTCAATTCACTACAATCTGATTGCTTATGATACACAAGATACATATTGTCACTTTGAAGAAAATAAAAACTGCAAACTGTTCTTTATTTTAAATAAGTTAAAATCTATGATGCAGAGATATAAGACCACTATAAAATTACTATAAGTGGTAAAATAATTATAATAAGGGAAGCAAAAAGCATTGTAGAGGTCTAAGTAATTGCAAGTTTACTTTTATATGGCAGAA